GTCAACTAACTAATACTTATTACACAAAAAATATATATGAACTATGGCATGGTCATTGCCATATTTGTTCAATGACATCAACCAGATGACCCCACCCCTTCACAAGGCAAGTGACAGGATCGGAAGTGTTAGCAGGTCAATGGGCATACATAATAATTGACATGATGTACATTATGGGCCCCTTTTTATGTTTTTTTTTCTTTTAATGAAGGACGGCAGAATGTTTTTTTTTACTGTGAACTTTTTTTGTGAATACATAAGTGTACTATGCACCTCTTACTCATTTACATAGGGGGATATATTATCTGGGATCCCCCTTATTGCTAAAGGGGGCTTCCAGATATCAATAAGCCCCCCAACCCGAAGGCTCCAACAATCATTGGGCCAGGGTTGGGATTAATGTTTTTGGGGGGATGCCTCACTTTTTTTATTTGATTTCTGTGTGGGGTTCCCCTTCAAAATCCATAGCAGACTCAGAGTCCAGTATAGAATTTGGGGGGGGCTCAGAATATTGTTTGGGGATTTTTTTCATGAAGTCAACCTTTAAATTAACACCAAGTCTGAAAGGCTTGGTATGAATTATTAGGGAACCCCCACGCTGTCTTTTTTTAATACTCTCTCCACTTCTTGTTTAAATTTACATGTCAGCTCAGAATCCCCAGCTAACAGCTAAATGAGGCAGGCGCAGATGAGTCACTGGTTGTTGATGCTGGCAGGTGCTGGCGCCCTGACAACCAATGGCCTGAGCCGGAGCTGTCACATTTAGCAGTGGTGCATTGGCGTCTAGCCTGCGATTACATTACATTACAAACATTGAGTTTAATAGCGCCAAAGGGTTTGCTCAGCGCTGTACAATAGAGGGGGGGACAATAGAAACTGTACGAACAGCACACGAGGGGTAAGAGGGCCCTACTCTTTCGAGCTTACAATCTGGGAGGGAGTGGTACAGGAGGAAGTGGCTGTGGGGGATGGAGTGGTAGGAGGAATGAAGGAGAGCAGCAGTTAGGTGAGGGTGGGGGCTTCCCTGAAGAGGTGGGTTTTCAGGGGCGCCTGAAGGTGAGGAGGGAAGGTGACAGCGAGTTCCAGAAATGGGGGAGGAAGAGTTAATGAGGAGGAGACCCAAGATGAAGGAGGTTTTGTGCATATAAAATAAAGAGACTGAAATGTTTTTTTGCATTGACTAATTTTGAGATAAATACCCATGAGATATTATAAGGCAAAAATCCATGTGTTATTCATCTCTGATTGAATTACTACCACTTTCATATTAGAAATCACACTCTACTGGCTGGTAACAGGTGGGTGTGTGTATATTCTGTATATATATATATATATATATATATATATATCATACTTTATATACTGTATATATTTAAATTAAATGTGCAATAACCTTTCATTGTGCAGAAGTACAATTTTCCAACTTCTCTGCTAATCTGTCCATATCCATGTATTTCAGTGCAATCCCTCTAACAGGTAATGGTGTGTGGCCTAATATAGCTGTTCCCTGCATTACTTGATGTGCAGTTGTGTATTCCATACAACACTTGCTATCCTGTTTCATGGTAATGAGGCTGTATGGCTCATATGCAAATTAACGAGCTGTGGAATTTTAGCTTAGCGAAAGACGACATCTATTTGTAATTCAGAGCTAAACCACCAATTCAGGTCTTACAGACAATAGATAATGATGTTTCATATTTGTTTTCATGGTTAATACAATGCATGGATCATGAAATGCTTAGATTACCTCATACAGGAATCTCTTGTCTGCTTCAAAACTTAATTTTCTATATCATCTACTAATCCTTGAAATCATAGGAAGACATATGCAAGTCAAGGCTTGAAACTTCAAAAAGAACATTTAAAATTAGAATGTAATGATAAATGGTTGATTGGCTTCTTACATGAGCAAAACTGAATAATTATATAACAATGCGTTGATGCAGATGTATATATATTGGGGTATAGCCGAAATACGTCTGAGGACTGCATTTTCAAGGACTTCCACAAAAAGACAAATGTCTTATTTGGTCTGATTAGGAGACATTCAATAGAGTCTAGTTAAAGCACAACTCAACTACCCCCTCCCTGAAGCCACCCCAGCTACCTAAAACTATCACATTATGCACGCCTTTTTGCCTTCAGTACTCTGGCCGGTCCTTCCTCTTCTTCTTCTTCAGTGGCAGTTCTTAAAGTGGTTGTAAAGGCTCAAGATTTTTAACTTCATGCATTCTAAAATAAAAAACCTTCGGCATGCAGCAGCAGCAACACCCAGACCCCTCAATACTTACCTGAGCCCCATCTCGATCCAGATATGTGCACAGCCTCGGCTGTCCTGGGTCTCTCCCTCCTCATTGGCTGAGACAGTAGTGGAAGCCATTGAACCAATGAGGAGATGGCAGGGGTGTGGCTGAGCTGTGGCTGTGTGTGAATGGACAAGCTGCTTGCTGTGGGGGTACTCGGCAGGAGGGAGGGGTCAGGAGCGCTCGCGGAGGACTCAAGAAGAGGAAGATCATTTGTGCAGGGCCTCTGGGATTGAGGACCTACTTTAAGATGTGGGTCATAGAGGTGTTGAGACCCCCTTCCACTATCACTTAACTTTGACTTTGGCACTGGCCACTAATAGGTCAGGTGAGAAGCAGAAGAAATTCTTTGATGCCCAAACCATTTTCCAGATTTGTAATATCCAGAACATGCTGGACAGTAAGCTCCTCCATGACTGCCTATGTGTCTGGTATTGGGGCATGCAGAATGCATCTCTCATTTCCTATTGTCATTGTTTTGATAGAAAATAGAAGGGATCTATTCTGTCTGACCCCATTTGGATATTTTGGACGGTGAGAGAGTTCTGGGCATCAAAAATGCCACTCTTTGCCTGCAACTGTTTATAAACATTGAATATGTTTTTGTACTTGAATAGGAGGTGGTAGCAAAATCTATTTTTACACAAGGGCCCTTTGCTGACTATGTCCACCACCATGTGCCTTCCTGTTGCAGATAGGTTTCTCAGGTCAGATGACACCACAGAATCTGGCATTAAATACAAGTAGCACTCTTATAGGTAGCTAGGGGGAGCTAGCTTAAGTTTTTCAGCTAGGAAGGCTGAGAAGCAGCCTGGGCAGAGTAGGAAGGGTTATTTTAGGTCAGGGCTGACAGGTTCTGCAGGTTAGTTCCCCTATACCTCCCCCTGCTCTAGAATCTTGGAGAAGATTCTAGAAGTAGTGAGAGGGGGTGAGGAGGGGCTGGCCTGCACACTTAGGGGACCCTAAGCCACTAAGCCCGCCCCCTCCTTCATTGCTGCATGGAGAGACAATGCCTACTGGGATATATAATATGCATATCCCAAAAGGCAAAAGGTGCACAGTGCATCATTTGCCTTGGTGAATTATGTGCACGGGGAGGACGGCCTGAACACTTTTTTTTTAAAAAAGGGTAAAAAAAAAAAAAACTAAAACCAGCATTATTGAAGGAAAGGAAGGAAGGAGGGGTGGAGAGGAGGGAAGATTGTCTAGAATGGGACATTTTTTTTGTCTATGTGCAGCTTTCTTCTCTATTTTACTCCTTTTGTGATGCAAAAAAAAAAAATCTAAACAGGACACTTCTAGAATCAATACAGCCAACCATGGGCATGGTGTCAGAGTCAGAAGACCAGGCCTTCAAAGTATATTTCCTACTAAATGTGATTCAAATTGTGGGTGTTTGACTTTTATTTTTAATTAGACAAATGTTATCAGAGAGATAACATTTGTGACAGGACGAGACTCTGCCAAGGTGAAATTGGTCATCAAAAGGACACGGGGTTTACACTTTTGACGAGTTCAGGACAAGGCTGCATATGTTGTGAATGGAGAAAACTGCATTTGCAGCTTTCTCCAAGTTTTGGTAATCCTGGATGGGGCTCCCTAGTTTGGAGATTCCATATTGCTTTGGGCGGGACAGAATCTCCAAGCCAGTATCCAGGTTTTGTGGAGTGAAACAGCAGGATGTGTGCCCAGGTGCACACTGCCCTTACAAGGGAGGTTTAGAAATACCTCAGGGCTCCACCCAAGAGAGACAGGAGGTCTCCTACAGGAGTCAGAGAGGCTGCAGGTGGCAGATGGAGTATGAAGGTCTGAAAGAGACAGTTAACGGCCTGAGGAGCTGTGTGCATCTGAGTTATTGGCCGGAGGTCTTGGCCAAAGGAGTCATGTGGGGCTCTAAGCTGTGTGCCTGAAAGAGCTGGTGGTCAGAAGGACCAGTAACTATAGCAGCAGTGCTGCTGAACAGTAGACAGGTGGGCTAGTATTTTCATTTGGACTGTGTATATTTTACTGGAGAACAGGGGCGGACTGACCATTTAAGCACTCGGGCACTGCCCGAGGGCCCAGGGTCAGTAGGGGGCCCCATGATTTTTGGGTGTGGTTTGAGTGTGGGTGAGGATTTAGGGGCCCCATGATCCCCTATTGCCCGGAGGCCCCATGAGTTGTCAGTCCGCCCCTGCTGGAGAAGAACCCCTGCACTGTGTTTTGGACTTGTCTTTCTTTACTGTTAATAAAAGTAGGCTACCAAACCCTAAAATATAGTTCCTGACTGGCGTGAACTCACTTGCAAATGCATCTACCACTGAGCTAATCATCCCCAAATGTTACACAGTATTCACAGAAAAAAACGTCTTATGTTAATAAGTTACTTAAAAGATAAATACCATTTAAAGACAGAGGAGTTGATTTACTAAAACTGGAGAGTGCAAAATTCGATGCAGCTCTGCATAGAAACCAATCAGCTTCCAGGTTTTATTTTCAAAGCTTAATTGAACAAGCTGAAGTTAGTAGCTGATTGGCCACCATGCACAGCTGCACAAGATTTTGCACTCCCAGTTTTAGTAAATCAACCCCATAGTTTACATTCAGCTGGTGATTTTAACATATGTATATAAAATATTAAAAATGTTCCAGATCTTTTTAAATGTAAAAAACAATTAATGCAATTAATGTAATTAATTAACATAATGTACTTACATTAAACTGAACCTGAGCAAAGCTCCCGCCATGAGTGTGTAGGATCTCATAGGTGGAAGGCACAGCTAGAAGCTCCCATTCTCCATCATTAAGAAAAATACTTTTGTCATTCCTAATTTCCTCATAACTCCTCCAGATGGAGAGATTTAGATCATTCACTGCAATAAATGAAACACAGTACAGATAAAACATTTTCAAATCTTATATCAAGTTTGTAATAACATACTACGGAAGATTAGGTCAAGCAAGGGCATAATAACAATGATAATAATTGACAGATGATGAAGTAATATGAATGGAGGATAGATAGCAGAAGGACTGTGCTGTTCTGCATGATGATGACTATCACTTTACTTTCCTAAAGTATATGTGAACCCTCACCTTGTAAAACAGCCTATTCAGTTTAAAATATAACTGAAAGGGAAAACATTTATGTATATACAGTGATCAGTATAAATGAGTACACCCCTTTTGAAAAGTAATCAAATTAATCTTAATGAACACAAGAACAATTTCCAAAATTTTGACAAAACTGCATTTTAGAGAACATTTGTTTAGCTCATTACATGAAAGTAAGGTTAATAATATTACTTAGATTACAAAACTGTCAGCTTTACTCAGATTAGTTGATGCAAAAATGAATACATCCCACAACAAAAACTACTGCATCTAGTATTTTGTATGACCTCCATGATTTGTAAGGATAGCACCAAGTATTCTGGGCATGGAATGAACAAGTTGGCGACATATTGCAACATCTATCTTTTTCCATTCTTCAAGAATAAACTCTTTTAGAGCCTGGATGCCAGATAGAGAGTGATGCTCAACTTGTCTCTTTAGAATTCCCCAATAGGTGTTCGACTGGGTTCAAATCATACTTGGCCACTGAATCACTTTCACCCTGTTCTTCTTCAGAAATGCAACAATGGCCTTAGATGTGTGTTTTGGATCATTGTCATGTTGGAAAAGTGCACAACGACCAAGGGCACAGAGTGATGGCAGCATCTTTTCTTTCAATATAGAGCACTACATCTGTGAAATCATGATGCCATCAATGAAATGCAGTTCCCTGACCCCAGGAGCACTCATGAAGCCCCACAGGAGGACACTGCCACCACCATGTTTCACTGTAGGCGCCATGCATTTTTCTTTGTATTCCTCACTTTTGCAACTCCATACAGTTTTGAAGCCATCAGTTCCAAAAACATTTATCTTGTTCTCATCACTGCAGAGGACAGAGTCCCAGTAAACTTTTAATTCAAATTCTAGGTGGGCTTTTTTAGGAGAGGCTTTCTTCATTGACGACACCAACACAAGCCATTCCTCTGCAGTATTGTGTCATGGGAAACAATCACCCCAGTTTGGCTTTCTACGTCTTTAGCTAACTGCAGTGAATTTGCATGGTGATTTTCTTCAACCCTTCTCATGAGAAGATGCTCCTGTTGAGGTATTAACTTCCATGGACGGACTGGATGTCTCTGTGAGATGGTTGCAGTTCCATATTTGTTAAATTGTTGTATCACTTTTGCTACAGTAATCTGATAAATAAAGCTTTGCTGATCTTCTTGTAGCCTTCACCTTTCTTGTGTAAATAAATTATTTTCCTTCTCAGGCTTTGTGACATTTGCCTTCCATGTGGTGCCATTGCTGACACCATGAAATGGGAAGAGGTTTTCTTTGTTAAGTAACACCCTTTTATAATCACCTGTCTGCTGGACACCTGTTTAATGAATAATTAGACTCACCTGCAGTTGAATTCTTGCTAATTAGGATTTTGTTGCCTAAAATTTAGCTTTGCTCCCAAGACTCTCTGTCACGTACCTGATTGGAGACTGAAATGACGAGGTCGGCCTCACTTGTGTCACTAGCCCTGGAAGTGGAACAGAGGGTGTCTAGGGACCAGGGGTACAAGAGCGCCAGCAGATGTTGTTTGCAGCTATTGCAGTTGGAGACTTTGGAAGACTGATGAACCTCCGATTCAGGATCAGTAGTGATATGCAGAGCTGGTATGGTAGGTAGCCAGGTGTGCACCAGAGCAAGGCAGGAAGCAGGGATGGGAGACAGGAGCAATGTCATAGGAATAGCCAGGGTCATCAACGGGCGGACAGCGAGGTACCAAATCATAAACAAGCCAAAGTCAGGAGCAAAGCCGAAGTCAGGAACAAGTATCAAGCAGGAGAGTAATCAGAGTCAGGTCAGGAACAAGCCGGGTCAGCAACAAGGAAATCACACACAGGAACGAGCAGGACACGGGGGAGCTGAAGACCAGTCAGCACTCAGCACAGGCAGAGGCACTGTTTAAATAGTCCATCTGGCTTCAATCTTCACCGTGCGTGTGCGTGATCGTGCATTTCTGTGCACATGCGCACGTCTATTCACCAGCCGTCTCACGGGAATTCCCTTACACTCTCATTGGATTGTATTGATTTTTACAACATGGTCTTGAATGAATTTGTTAGGAAAAATACTTTTATGTGCGTGCAATCTAACAAATCTTGTTTGCAATCAATGGCCGTATTTGTGGGAGTATTTTGTAATATAGCGTCCCATAGAAAATGTTGATTCTGAAAGTAAAGGTTTTCTTACAAATCTGTTGGGGTGTACTCAATTATGCTGAGCACTGTGTGTATGTATATATACATACATACATACATACAAACATACACATATATATAAAATATAAACATTATAAGAGAAATGTTGATCTGTTGATCTTTACAGTAGATGAGGAATTGTAAGCACAATAACAATAAAACATTTGTAAAAGGAAAAAAAAAAAACATTATAAATACCTTTTTATTCCCTTTTTAGTAAGTGCTCACATACCCTCTGTTCTCAGCTGCATAAGGAGCTTAGAGAGTTAGAGGATGAGAAAGAACAGCACACCGGTCCTCACAGGGAATGGCTGTGCGTGGGGGATGGGGGGGTGTGTCAGTACAAACCTGATCACTGGAGGAGAGCAGGTTCAGTTCCCAGCACAGCCAGAAAACCGACCATGCTGTGCTCTACTGCCTAGTGTGGTCACTTTTTAAAGTTGTTGTAAACTCTGGATTAAACTTTTACCTACAGGTCAACCAATAATAAGTCTTACCTGTAGGTACAGTAAATATCTCCTAAACATGCACCATTTAGGAAATATTTGAATGTGTCATCCATTGAGAGTGCTGTACTGTGCCGTGACTGTGACATGCACGGAAGTGACATCATTGTGGTTTGGCCATTCAAATGGCCAGAGCATGCAAACCCAAAAGGAAGACTGGTTAAAGATGGAATCCCTGTCAGTGGTGACAGTGCGTTGCTGGAGGGATCCGTTTTATAGGTAAATCTGTTATAATGTGCTAGTATGGGGTGCATGATAGCACATTATGACATTAACCTGCAGCTTTTGGGTTTTTTTTTTAGTTTACTACCACTTTAATAAGAAAGCAGAGGGACTGGCAGGAAGTCCAGGAATTTCGCATAAAGGAAGCAATACAAAAAGAACTGGATACTTTTTCATACAAGTACATGGTACCGCAGGCACATATCAGGAATATGAAATGTTGGGTTTACATATTCTTTAAATCATGAATGATTGGTGTGTTTTGAATGAAACCTGTTTTTAGAATCCCCAATAAGCCATAAGATATCCAAAGGTCATGATAAAAGTTACCTTTAAACGATATATGGCTTAATAAGAACTCATTACTAATATGCAAAAAGAGAAGTGAGCACCTAGGGGAAAGATAAAAGCAGCTATGCACACAAATGGTAACCACTAGCCCAATGGATTAAAGTATTAAACATAGAATCGTGCAGCGCTAAAGTAAATATATGATGTCCACAGGGACAGTAAAAACCAATAAAGGTGACTAATAGCTCAGTGATTTAAAAGGTTCCAATGTGATGACTTTTGTGCATCTTGGTCCGGCAAGTAGTGCTATTGTGGTGTTAAAAATGCGCACTCACCGGACGCGCATAGTAATAGCGCTTTGATATAATAAGTCTATTGAAGCCTGACGTTGAAAGGTCCTCCCTCTATGGGATGGGTCATCAGGTAATGTGCCACACACTATGGATCCTTGTTCTTTCCCGGGGTAGTATCACCAAGTATCCGTGAGGAATATCAGCCTGTCCAGGGATGGCGGGTCTATGGATTTAAAGTATTCCCCCAAGTGTGTGGCCCAAGACCTCATTACTGTTACATTGAGGGTTTGCTGAATCAAGTGTTGGATGCAAGGCAGTTGAAGTCTATGGCATGAATGCTGCATCCAGCTACAAAGCAAATGACTAAATTTGTTTAGTGTACTTCATTGGAACCAGAACTTATATAGTGGTCAAGAATGGTCAGAACTGCCTGCCATAAGCCCAATTTACTCTAAACAAGCCTTCAAATAGAAGCACTGATTTGTATTTGGAAATCTAAGGAGACTGGCAGGTTTACCTGTATGTAAGCAGCTGCTAAAGGTCAGACTGCAGTTCTGTACATCAAAGGGAAAGGCATAGGTCTCCAGGCTACATGCCGACACCACTTGCATAGGCTTGTTGTTTTTGATGGTCCCAGAGGAGCTCACATAGACATAGGGCAAATCGGGTGACTTTCCATCCTCAACACTATGGAAACATATTATGCAGTTTGTAGAAAAACACATTAATCACAACTTAGGAGAGTGAAAAATTACTGCAAAACCAAGCGACAGACACTGTACTTCATCTAAAGTCATCAATTGCATAAAAAAGAAATCATTTAATCAAGTTCCGCATCTACAATCCACTGAATGTAAAGGGGGCAGTGGTAGTAAGGTGTTACAAGGAGTGACAAAATTGTCTATATGTAAATTTAGTTGAAAATGTATTTACTTTTCAAAATTATATTTTCTGGTGAAAAAACATAGCTTTTGATCTAGTGGCTCCAATACCTTTTAGTTACTGATCAAGAACAACTATGAAAACCAGGAAAGTCAGAAAGTAAGAAATCTGCTTGTTTCTTCCTAGCCCATTGACTCCTTAAGTTTGGATCGGTTAAGGTGCTACTAAACTCAGGACCCTGCATTCACTATATCTGGTCTCCCACAGTACACAAAACATGGAAGTGCAATTATTTTAGTTAAAATAAACTGCTAAATACCTTTTTTCAGCAGTATATAGCAGTCTTGTGTCCATCAAAGCACTGGTTAAAGCTTGTAGGAGGGGTTTCATTGTCCCCTGATTGTCCTTTGAGGCTGTATAACCCCTGACCCTCTGTCTGGACAGTGCTGATTGGCCCTGTGCTGATCACATGCACTCTCCCCCCCCAAATAAACCCTCTAGCAATGCACACCAAACTGAGCATGTGCATCTTGCCCCCAAGGCTTTGTTCTATCAGTAGATGGATTGGGGACAGTAGAAGAAGGGGAAGACCAGATTAAACATCCTTTCTTGCACAATGAGGAGGATTAACCCCTTAGGCTCCACAGTGAGCATAACAAGCATGCTTTACTGCATTTACAGACTGATTTTACTGTTGTGGGGTTAGTAACACTTTAGGTAATAATGCTTTATTTAAATGATACATCCAAAAGTCTACAGTTGGAGTCTGCAAATTAACAGAGCATTGTTAAAGCAGATTTGAGGAAAACCATTCACTTCTAACAAATACTCTAGACTGTAAACTCCTCAGTGGCAGGGAGTGATGTAAATAATTGTATTTACTCTGTATAGTCTGTTAAATACAATATATCTTCACATATGGAAATTATAAAGTCAAGTTGAAGAAACTACAAGACATAAATCCTTGCATTCTCAGAACCCTAAACCAAAGCTGATCCAAAAGAAGATACAAATTTTGGTTCAGTTTCCTTTAACAGGAAAGCCCTTGATCAATATTTAAAAATGTATTTGATTTTTTTATTAGCCATTTAAATTTTAGGCTTCTAGAAATGCATTCAAATCATTTGTGAAACAACCTGCTGAGTTACTACAACCAGTTCCTTAGGAAGACCATGCTATCTTTGTTTCTTTGTGATGACCTTCAAGCAGCGTTATGGCTATGTGAATGACATTGATTTATTTACAGATTCTTTACAAATGGTAAATAATATTTTACCAGGTCTAAACTGACTTTTCTAGCCACAGCCACTCTGGAACAAATCATCCTCAAAGTTCACAAGAGGTGAAGTTGTTCAAGTCAGGTCTCTGTATATGAAAGCCTCAGTGGTAGCAAACTATGTCAAAGGGAGGTTATGGGTGGAGTGTCTCAAAAAAGAAAAGATTTGTATTAAAGGGATCCCCAGTGTGGGGTTTCATTATCTTCACATGTAAATAGTGTAGGGAAGTGACAGGACCCAGAGAAGTTTTGTGAGTGACATAGCTCAGCTCTTACTTTGCAGATTTTAAAGCTGAAGAGAAAATTAAAGTGAAGGTGTTTTTACTGTAAATTTGAAGAAAAATGACTCCACAGTACTTACAGCTACAGGAGTAAGTGGCAACTTGTTTTAAAGATTACATTGCTTATTATTTATTGAGAATATGCAAAAATGTGAAAGTCCATAGCCTGGCCACAGAACTTTCCAGTGGATTCTCTATATAGACTATTTATCTTTTTACCCTAAGTAATCACACTCCCTTAAAGTGGTTGTAAACCTCAGACATGAAATATGAGCAAAGCATATCCCTCTATAATGTGTACCAAGTGTTTTTTTTTCTGTCTGCTGCCTCATTCCTCTGCTATCAGCTTCAATCACTTCTGACAAGTTTTCCTGACACCAAGAGAAAAATGGTGATGGGGTGGGACCTCCTGCACATTGATAGCCTCAAGCGTTCCTGTGTGCTGTGTGAAAGGGGGGGGGTGTCCATTCCCACCAATCAGCTCTCAGAGATCTCTTCACTGAGCTCTGTAGTATGTAATTTCAGCTGTCCGCCCCATTTTTTCTGGAATCTCAGACAAGCTTTCTACATTCAGCACTTTGAATGGATGTAGAAAAGAGAACACTGCAGATACACAGGTACAACTTATGCAGGAGGATTTTTTTTCATCAGTGTGTTTCACCTGAGGTCAGTAACTTCACTGGGTATATGTACGGGTTTACAACCACTTTAATTTCCTCTACTCAAAGCAGAATTTGATCATGTTAATTAAATTAATACATTTCTAATAAGCATAACTGAGGGCAAATTACATCATATATGAAATGTCAATTTACATTTTTTATGAGAAAAAAGTAATTTTATGATACTGTAGCACCCTCCTAGTCAGGTGTTAGGATGTGCATAGTTAGGTTAGGCATAGCTGTGTTTCTCACCAGAGAGGCTGTCAGGTAAATTCAGTGTGGTATTCTGCTTAACAGAGTGCTGACATTGATTTGTCAGGTCTGCTCATGCTCCTCTGGTGTTGTTGGAGTTGAGAGCCTTCCAGAACATGGGAAAGGGCTAGGCAAATGCACAGCATGAATATGGATACAGCCCTGGCCAATTGCAAGGAAAAGCAGTCCCATTGCATGCTGGGAGTGGTATTTACAGCAGGGGCGGACTGACAACTCATGGGGCCCCCGGGCAATAGGGGATCATGGGGCCCCTGTGTCCTTGCCCAAACTCAAAAAAGCCTATGAAAAAGGTACCAGGGGCATCTCATGGGGCCCCCTACTGACCCTGGGCCCTCGGGCAGTGCCCGAGTTTCCAAATGGTCAGTCCGCCCCTGATTTACAGTATATTCTAGGAACACATGGGTCCAGGGTCTTTCCCAGGAGTGGATTGCACCAGCCAAGCTGGAGGCCGGCTGCCTCTCCTGGCAACTGCTGCCATGTGGCTTCAGGTGGGTCGACCTGAGGGCCTGAAGCTAAAGAGACATAGATCTTGATTTGCAGGAAGCTGGCTGCCAAGGCTCTGTCTGGTATCACTGGAGGGTTTCGCTTGGAAAATTTGAAAGAGGCATCCACTCTTTCCTTAGACCTTGTGAGCACTGACATTGAGGAACTTGGAGACACTGTGTGCTTGCTACCTTGGTGTTTGATAGTCAGCATGGGTCTGGAACAGGGAACACTGGCTAGTGTTCTGAAGAGCTGGTCCGAGTGTTGCTACTGCAAAGGAACTTTGCTCAGCTACGTTACCTTTCGGCTGTCGCAGTCTGTAGTAACTGGCTTATACCTGAGGAGCTCAGCCCTGTAACTACTACTACTGCTAAAGGGACTTTGCTCACTTCTAAAACTACTTGCTGCTATACTGTATGTTACAAGGAAGTCTACTATCTACTGTCAGCCAAGACTTCATAAGTGTTCTACTAAGAGATCAGCTAGATGTCCTCAGTGTGATCCCCATCCCTATCCCCAGTTCTACAATAAACTCCAAAAACAAAACATCCCCTAGACTGGTCATTGAAGACAACGAGCTGAAATGTCTGTGAGTGTATTTGGCTGTGGAAATGCACTATTCCTGGCTGTGGGGTGAAGAAAGGGGAACAACAAACAAGTGGCTCCTGCAAGGGTAGCACTATAATACTTTCATGAGAAATGTTATAATAGTAACTTTTACATACAATTCATTAATGACAATATCAGGCACCCAAATGACGTTGAGCGGGAGGGAGATTTCTCCAATTCCATCAAACTGACTGGAGTCCCAGGACAGAAATTCATCTTTCCACATCTAGAATTAAAAAAAGTAACATTGGAAATCGCAACTAATCCACGTGTATAATTATGGGTTTAACTGGTCTTTCCAACAGAAGAATATTTTCTTTCTGCTTTTAAACCTCACATTATACCAGTGTTTCTCAACTCCAGTCCTCATGGACCCCCAACAGGTCATGTTTTGAGGATTTCCATTATTTTGCACAGGTGATTTGATCAGTTTCACTGCCTTAAGTAATTACCACAGCTGTTTCATCTGAGGGAAATCCTGAAAACATGACCTGTTGGGGGTCCATGAGGACTGGAGTTGAGAAACACTGCATTATACTAACAATGAGAAGCCCCTTAATTGGAGGGACAGTTGCTTTTTGTCCTATGTGACCATCTGAATTTAAAGCACCACCTGAAAAAAAAATAAAAGTGAGCAGCTACAAAAACTGTAGCTGCTGACTTTTAAAATACAGACACTTACCTGTCCCTCGGTCCAGCGGTGTCTTCACCACCGCTGGTTTCACCGGCTGTCTTCTGGCACCGGCATCTTTAGTGTGGGCACCCGGCTTTGACAGCTTGCGGCTTCACAGCCGAGTGCCCACTGCACATGCGCAAGAAGCACTGCACTTTGTGAATGGCCCCATAGTCTTCTGGGACCTATCTACGGGCAGGGAGAGAGGGAGGAGGACAACTTCCACTTCCGATCACCTAGGCCTTGGGTACCTACAGGGGTGGACTGACCATTCTAGCACACGGGCACTGCACGAGGGCCCGGGGTCAAAAGGGGGTACCATGAAATGCCCCTGGTATCTTTTTATAGGATTTTTTGGGTGTATTTTGAATGTGGGCAAGGACACAGGGGCCCCATGATCCCGTTTTGCCCGGGGGCCCTATGAGTTGTCAGTCCGCCCCTGGGTACCTATCAAATTCGGGTACCCCCTCCCTCCCGCTCCCCAAAGGTTCCAATCCTCAATAGGGAGCGGGGGAGAAAGGCTTAAAGCGGAACTTCCCCTTTTGGGTGGAGCTCCACGTTAAGCACCTATTTTAATACAACACAAGCTTCATGTTTTGAAAAACCTAAGATGAAAGGTGAAAAAGGCTGTTAAGCAAGAAGGCTCAGGTGATACCGTGTATCCTTTGGTAGGACAGTTGTGTTTCTATTCTCTCTGGACGGGAGGAGGAAAACTGTTCTCATCACTCATAGCAACCAATCAGCTTCCAGGTGCCCAGAGGTCTTTAGAAATTAAAAGCAAAGAAAGGAGTGCTTGCTATGGGCAACACAATTTTTTTCCTTCCTCAAGTCTTTGTGAATTTGTCCCAGTATCTTTTATTTTAAAATGGCTTTTACTTGATACCTGCTGCATATTCACATTCACTCTGTGTGTTTCAAACCTTAAAGTGTTTGGCAAACTTAGTATGGCCCCAAATACAGAATTAGTTCAGGATAGATAGATATAGCTGGTATTTTTCAAACCTTGAAATGTCAGCAAGACATCCCAGCTATGCCCCTGAAACCTTACCCTAAGATTAACATAGACTCTAATATTAACCCTAACAATAATCCTTTGTTTATAAACAAAGCCACGTGATCATCATGGTGATCATATGCAGGGGCATATTTACCACAAGGCAAACAAGGCATTTGCCTAGGGCAGCATTTTTCAGGGGGCAACACCGCCCCACTGGAAGAAGGGATGGAAGAAGGGACACATGCGGCTTGGGGACCAGAGATGTGAAGGTCCTGGGGATGTCCAGAGATGTGAAGGTGAGTGTCTCTTTCTCACCTTTTTTTACAGCAGATATCTGTGGACCTGTGATGGCTCTATGGGCAGGCAAATGTAAATGGACTTGTGTCCGCTTACATCAGGCTACCTCCGGTCCCAAACACTTGCCTGAGACAAAGCGGCATAACTAGGAATTGCAATGTGAGTAAAGGCTAAGTTACGCTTGCGTTAGCCCTCGTTTAACCTCTACAACCTGATATTTCTCGCTGGTGTGGGATAGTTTAGGCATGGCCCCATTCTGGGGAATGGGTCGCGTTTGGTTTGTGGTACTCCCTGTCAAGTATGACAGAGGGGACATTTCTTTCTGCTGCCGTGAAGCAAAGCGTTGCGGTCATAGCATGTGTACACCCCTGTCCACTGCCTTTGCAGTTTAAGAGGGAGTAGACGGGAAGGGCAGTAAACTGTGACTTGGCTGCAAGTTTTTAACATCCCTCCAACCACAAGTGTAAACAAGCCCTTAGATCTAGTAATGAAAATAATTCAAAAATAGCTCCTGTTCTGAGTGAATAACACAGGCTGCATTACATAGAACTGGAGCCCTGTTCTCACTTGCATAGTAAATCATTCTTTGTCAACGAATGTAAACATAAATAAAGATGTGTGAGTTTCAAATGGTTTACACTCTTTTCTGGAGCTAAGTTCAGATTGTAACCCAATTGCAAGCAACAAGGGGACAGTGGCAGTTGAGCTCTGTCATTCTATGAAGGTCCAATTTTCTTCTAAAAACCATTGATGGATGATTGCAGAGAAAAGGCAATGAATCCATACATGCATTTATGAATCAGTATTGTATGTTTTATGAATCATGAGAGTTCTTCAAGCTTACCTGTCGATACCAGATACTAGTTGTCAGCTTTTGATTCTGTCCATCCTAGAAAAAGAAAATATAATTGATAATGTTATATACTATATGGCCAAACGTATATGAACATCTGACCATCACACTGATATGAGCTTGTTGGAGATCCTATTCCATACCTATGGGTATTGTCAGGATCTGGACCACCTACTGGTGGCATTGTGGTTTCTAGTGTGGAAGGATGTAGTTCTGGTGTTCACCAGCAGGTGTCTCCCAGCAGCCACCAGATCCCAGTAATCAGTTTCTATCTGTTGCTGGCTGTTGGGAGGGTATTTAGTCCCTACCCAGTCCCTCCTCTACTAGAGCCTCTCGCTTCATTGTTTTGCTCTGCTAGCCAGATACTGCTTGCCATTTATCCTGACCCTGATCTGCATCCTGACATTTTTCACACATGTGGTTAGCTCATTGCTGTTTCTTCCAGATTTTCTCTTTTTACGATACTGGAATTAAACGGGTGATTTAAAGTGGAAGTTCTGCTCTTCCTCCTTCTCACCCCTCAACTATGTGCACATTACTTTTTTGGGGGGGAGGGGCAGCTACCTTGTTTTGACAGGTACCCACTCCCACATCCCCCCCCCACCTGCAACCTTCTGGGACACTTCACCGCAGGTCTCAGGAGGCTGTGGGACCATTCACAGGGCCATAGGGAGGCCTGCTGTTAAGCCAAAAGGAGTCACAGCTGGCTTCCCACAGTTGACATGCCAGTACCGGGGACCAAAAGACCAGTGAAGAACCAGCTCTGGTGAGGATGACCTGGATCCCTGAACCATTTTACAGTTTTTGTAGATGCTCACTTTTAATTTTTGGAAACCTGGCTGAAGAACCTCTTTAAGCTGAAGACCTCCTCATTCAGGAGATGGGACAATGCTGCAGGAAGTAGGATATCAAAAAAAACTCTGTAAAATCATGCTCTTCCAGTAAAAACAGGAGCATGTAAGACTTTGCAATGAAGATCCTCATAATGTATGCAACTGACCAAGAGAGGATTGCTCCTTCCTTAGTAAAATGGAAGTTACACATTCATTTGATGGTTTTAGCCCATAAAAATAATCTTGTTACAGCCATACTCTTTTAGAAGTGTGTCATGACCATTCTGTAAGTAGCTACAGTTTGCACACAAGGGGAAGAACAAATGTAAATGGCAGGGTTCAGTTTGACCTGAATAGTTGATAGAAGACACCATGTTGGGTTTTCCTTGTAAAAGTGATAGTGAACCTAGCTTATTTCACACTTTGTCAGAAATCCATTGCAAGAACCGAAGTGTGCTTTAATTGATTACATGTTGTCTGTGGAGCTGTTCCTGGTTTATCTTTTGATTAAACTGAACGTCACCTTCAGATGACACATTAAACAAATCACCAGCCTCTCTCGCAATTTTAATTAGTTGCAAAGTCATTAATCAGGTTGTTTGGGAGAATTATATTACTTAGAGGTTCAGACTGCTGCTGCTCTTCATAAGCAGATATCTCACAACAGAAACTTATTCTCAATAAGCTTCTCAACTGAGAGACTTGGTGTTTACGCTAAGCAGAAGCTGCAACCACATTTCCATGCATGAACAGAAGCGATGTGAGATGCTTAAAGCGATATTAAAGGCAATGTAGAAAAAAAAAAAATAATAACATGTTGTATTTACCTGCTCTGTGCAGCGGTTTTGATCAGAGAGGCCCCGATCCTCCTCTTCTCGGGTCTCCCACTGGCGCTCCTGGCTCCTCCCTCCTGTTGAGTGTCCCCAAAGCAAGCAGCTTGCTTTGGGGGTAACCAAATAGGCTTGCTTCTGAGCCATTGCCCTGCGTGTCCATTTACACACACAGAGCCATGGCTGGGCCCACCCCCTCTCTCTCCTCATTCGCTCACTGGCTGTGATTGACAGCAGCCAATGAGGAGGGACAGTCACCAGAGAGCCGAGGCTCTCGTGCACATTGCTATATTCTAGGAACACATGGGTTCAGGGTCTTTCCCAGGAGTGGATTGCACCAGCCAGGCTGGAGGCCGGCTGCCTCTCCTGGCAACTGCTGCCATGCTGCCTCAGGAGGGTCGACCTGAGGGCCTGAAGCTAGAGAGACGTAGATCCTGATTTGCAGGAAGCTGGCTGCCAAGGCTCTGTCTGGTATCACTGGAGGGTTTCGCTTGGAAGATTGGAAGAAAGCATCCACTCTTTCCTTGGGCCTTGTCAGCACTGACATTGGAGATGCTGCATAGAATGCATGAAGGTAAAAAATGTTGAACCTTTACAACTACTTTAAGGACACACAAAGCAGTCACGGAAAAGACGGATTGGTGGCTTCACACTTCAATACAGTGCCCAGGTATACTTCAGGCTTTGCCGCCCTCTTCTGACTGAGAAAATCTTTGATTTTAAAAGACAATAAGACAAAAAGGATGTACCAGCCTCATGAATTACCGTAGGCACCATTTATTAATAAAAGAAATAAAGAAATGCAAAAATACTCACAAGAGCCACATAGTCTTAAACTTATAAGACGACTTGAACAGCATTCTCTGAAAGCATCAAAAATCAGGAACTGAATGACATTCCACAACAGAGATAAGAAAAGAATGAGAAAAAGGAGAGAAGCGCCTCTAAGTGGAATAAGTCTTTTAATTCAAGTCTAAATGTAGAAACACTCACATGTGTGAAGTAATCATAAGCTTAAAAACCGTGGTTAACAATAGTTAACGGTGGGGTGGTAACCCGGGTGAAGAGCCATCATCTTACTGCGATGTGGGGAGGTCAGCTCTCGGCTGGAACAGCGTGGTGGCTGGAGGGAACAGCGGTGAGGCCGGCCGGCGTGCATGTCCTCCCTCAGAGTCGGATGGAACGCACGCTGGAATGTAGCGGCGGAAGTGCACTCCTTTTTCAAGCAGCTCCTTTTTCAAGCAGCTGCTTGAAAAAGGAGTGCACTTCTGCTTTCCACGGCCAGTGCATGCTCCGAAACGCGTCACAGTGCACCCTGGGATCTGACGTCATCACGGCCACACCACCGCTACATTCCAGTGTGCGTTCCATCCGACTCTGAGGGAGGACGAGCACGCCGGCCGGCCTCACCGCTGTTCCCTCCAGCCACCACGCTGTTCCAGCCGAGAGCTGACCTCCCCACATCGCAGTAAGATGATGGCTCTTCACCCGGGTTACCACCCCACCGTTAACTATTGTTAACCACGGTTTTTAAGCTTATGATTACTTCACACATGTGAGTGTTTCTACATTTAGACTTAAATTAAAAGATTTATTGCACTTAGAGGCGCTTCTCTCCTTTTTCTCATCTACAGAAGTTGCTACAGCTTATTTGGAAGCCTTGCCCTCAGTGCCACACGGAATCCTACACTCTTCATACAGTAGCCACTAATACCACAATCACCCCATACTACCATTTCCCAGGACTTTGCAGTGTTTGCGCTGTTACAACCCTTCCTCATTTTTCCAGAACCACAACAGAGATAAGGACTAACGCATGTTGAGGGTTATACTACTCTGAGGAAAAGGGTAGAAGCCTTGAAACTCATTAGCCCTTGTCGCTGTTGTGTCATTCCGGTTCCCATAATGAACAACCAGATTCTTGATGCTTTCAGGGTCTGCTGTTCAAGTCATATTATAAGCTTAGGGTTATGTGGCTCTTTTGAGTATATTTGTATTTTTTTTCATGCAGGCTGTACGTTAAGTGTTAAGGCCCACCCATCGAGCAGCCCTGTTAAAACAACTTATCATGCTGGGAGCACACTGGCCGGGATCGGAAAGCCGGCAGGGATCAGTAAGCTCCTAATGCATACTTGCGATCGGGAGCTTTCAAACAGCCAATCACAGCGGGCACACTTTTCAGATATATATTTGTAAAAAGTTTTTAAACCCATTTATTATTTTCCTTCCACTTCACAATCATGTGCCACTTTGTGTTGGTCCATCACGTAAAAATCCCAATAAAATACGTTTACATTTTTGGTTGTAACATGACAAAATGTGGAAAATTTCAAGGGGTATGAATACTTTTTCAAGGCACTGTATATCCCTTAATAGTCATAGAGGATATAAATCCACTTTGCATGCTCTAAATGTCTTTGCAAATCCAGATTTTACACCGACATAATCTCTGTGCTGTACACAGCCTGTACACAGAGCAGAGCTAAGGGAGGGACCCAGCTGGCTTCATCCACTACAGGCTGTCTGCAGACAACTATAGGGGGGTGGAGACAAGACCGATCACCCTGCACAAGTAGAGAGAGCAGCAGTGACCGGTCTTTATCCCAGAAAGCTCCTACACAGAGGTAAAGGTTCACACTGGATTACTGCAAAGGAATAAATACACAAAGTACATCAAAATTCACGTAAGAATACATATGACTCTTGTATTTAGACAATATTTGCCTATCCTGGAGTTCCACTTTAAATAAATAGTAAATATGCCCCATGAGCAAATCACACTTTCAAACCCGAACTTTCCATTATGTCTCTGTAAACAAAGATCATTTAAAAGGAATAAATAAAAAACAGTCATCTACATAATGAAATATTGCTGGAACTTACAACATCCAATACTGCGTGGACAAAGAGATCGATATACACCGTGGTAGCCTGGGTCCAGTTTTTCACTGGTCTGACACCTTTGCTGTAGTTCACCAAGAGATTTCTTGTCAAGTAAAGCAAGCTTGAATTCTTCATTTGTGAAAAGTTATCAGTAAAAGACTCTGGGAGGGGAAATACAAAAACATATCATGAGTTATCAGGGGCTATGATGTCTTTTTTTGTGTTCTTCAATTGAGCAGATGTTGTTGTTTGCTACATTTTAAGTAAAGGCTTTCTTTAAAATAATAAACATGTTATTCTTATTTGCTCTGTGCAATGGTTTTGCACAGAACGACCCCAAACCTCCTTTTCTGAGATCCCCCGTTGGTGATCTTGGCTCCTCCTCCAAGCCAGGTTGTGTGCATCAATAGACACACACAGCTAGGGCATCATGGGCAAAGTAATGCACTGGGGCCACTACTAGCCTGCCCTAATTTACACACCTACTGTAAAAAATGAATGTATAAATAGTTGATATAATTAAACATAATTATTAGTACTTTCAATAAAAGTGATTTTAAACAATAAGAAAACATACCATAAATCAAAGACTAACCAACACAAGGGCAGAGTACAGGGGGGTTCAAAGAGCACAGTACAGGCAGAGTTAGGAGGGCACAATACTGGAATCAGGAGGTTCTGGGACGCTGCCAGGTCCATCTCAGGACAGCTTAGTAAAAGCGTGACTATCCCGGCAAATCCGGAATAGCAGGTATGATGTAATCCAAGATTATCATGGGGCCCCTATGCACCTGGCCATGCATTAAGACAGCCCTGCACACAGCTTCACTCAGCCCCGCTCCCCCCCCCATTCCCTCCTCACTAGATCTGACTGACAACAGCAGACGCCAATGGCTCCCACTGCTGCCGAGCGTCCTATGAGAAAAGAAAGAGGGGAGAAAAGTTGCTATTCATGGGCACAGAGCTGGATCATGATCACGCTCAGGTAGGTGTTTAAAGAAGAGAGTTGGGGGGGTTTGGGGGGGAGCAGATTTTGAATGCATTAAAGTAAAAAAAAACTTTTATCTTTACAACCAATTTAAAGAAGTTCTTCATCCTGTTATTAATAGGACACTTACCTGTCCAGGGATCCAGCATCATCCTCACCTGGGCCAGTTCTTTGCCGGTGTTTGGCGCCGTCATGTTTAGTGTGGGAAGCCAGCTATGACTCCCTGTGGCTTCTCATTGTGCATGCACAAGCTGTGCCTTGCTTTGTGAATGGTCCCACAGTCCTCTGGGACCCATGACACCCAAATCGCCTAGTCGATCAGATGTGAGAGCAGACATCTGTCAAAAACCAGGTACCCCCCCCCCCCAAAAAAAAAAAAAGTTCCAAAAGAAGAATAGAGGGAAAGGAGGAGGACATAAAGCAGAACTAACCCTTTAGGGTGAAGTTCTGCTTTAAAGAGTATGTAACATTGCACTAAACCCAAAATAAAAACGTAATATATTGCAGCTTACCAATCCTTGGATGTGGTGGCTGCATTTGTTTTCTTTATCCTTTTATTTTACCTAGTGATCCTGCCAGTAACACAGTTCCTGTCTCAGGGTATCTGTATTCTGGATGAAGTAGTAAATAAGACACCTTTGGACAGAAGCATTATTGGTCAGGGGAGAATGGAGTGTTAGACTAGCAGAGTTGAAGCTGAACTCCAGCTAAGGCTGGCCACACAGGTGCCATCTTTATCTGTTAAACCAGCCGGCTGAACACATATGGTGGGATTGCCTGAGAATACAGGATTACTGGATTACAATATATTCAGGAAATATGTGGGATTACTGTACAAAGAGACCCATGGGCATGTTTATTTTATAAATTTGAACCTTTAGTAAAACTACATAAGAACAGGGTACTACGGTATATCATCTAATCAGTGCGGCTAAGAGCTTGATTCCCAAATTTTGGCTTGCCCCAGACCCATCAAGAATAAATGACTGGGCTAACAGAGTGGAAAATATCTATAGGATGGAGGAGTTGTGTCATATTAAAGAGGAGAGAATAGAAAAATTTAGGAGAATGTGGATTAGCTGGTTAATTTTCAAAACATCTAAAAGATATCTGGAACTGGTGGGAATATAGGTGGAAGAGTATCAGAGGGAGTTTTAATGGAATACCCGACAGAGAGAAGGAGATGGGAGGGAAGGGATACAGATATAGATAGATAATCACAAGAAAGGATAGAAACTAGGATTTTAGTATGGACTGGGGAAATTGGTGGGGGAGAAGGTGGCAGGAAGGGTGGGGTAGGGGATAAGACGATGCAAATGTAATTTATGTATTTGTGAAGCTCTTTTTATTATTGTGTGCATTAGATGTTCTTTATATATTGGAAAAATTAATAAAAGATATAAAAAAAAAAAACAGCCGGTTGAAGTAAAAAACATAAGTCGATTCCTCCAGCCATACTCTTGATGTGGATGAGGGGAATCCCTCCCACTTTGACATGGTAATAAACTGATCAGCACCACCGGTTATATACGGCGACACTGATTGGAAGAACATTTTCCAATATGCTGGTGGTAGCCTGCACATACATGGATAAAAATTTGGCTGGTCCCTACTGAAACGGCCAAATTGTGATCCATGTATGGCCAGATTAGCACTTTATAAGCAGTTACAGCAAACATTTTTTTCCATTAGGGGTAAAGGTTTCACATAAACCATAACATAACAAAATCTGACCATTGCAAGCACTCCTGTCAGTGTTAAATGGTTTGTCTCAACTCTCTGACTGCTACTTTGCCTTGTCAGCTTGTTCTGTTAACGGACGTGGAAAAGTGGCAGACTTACCAGCAGGATTACCAGGTGAAAATAAAGGAAACAAACCTAGAAAATGAAAACTTATGTAGTCATGGCAGCTAAGAATTGACCAGTTGAAAATTCATACATTTTTGTTTTAGGATTTAATACCGCTTTATGTCAGAACTTTTTTGCTATTTTTGAATAGAGTAGGAGATTTTTTCAAAGCGAGGACATGTCCTCTTGTAGAAACTTGTCCCCAGAAAGGTTGTTCCCATTGAAATATTTCCCCTAAACTATTATTACAGTGGCAAATTTTGGCTTTCCCATCACTTTCTGTGCCAGAGACAATTGTCTTCAGGGCAAGTAGCGTGCAGGGGTGGACTGACCATTTGGAAACTCAGGCACTGCCCGAGGGTCCGGGGTCAGTAGGGGGCCCCATGAGATGCCCCTGGTACCTTTTTCATAGGGTTTTTTGAGTTTGGGCAAGGACACAGGGGCCCCATGATCCCTATTGTCCAGGGCCCCATGAGTTGTCAGTTAGCGTGGACACAATCTTTCAAATGTTATACAAAACAAAAACATGTGGGCTTTACATACACTTAAATCTTTACAGTGACTGTACAGTATATATTGAAAAAATTCAGAACCAGCCATCACAAGCAAGAGAATGAAAATATGGATAGATTATAAGGCAAAAATTCACAAAAACCATTCTGCACAAAATTAGGATATAATGTACATAACAAACATGAATAAAATGCAGGAGAATAGTTCAAAACTAATCTTTGAAAGTATTATTTCACTGAAAGAGTAGCTGATGCTTGGAATAGACTTCCAGCAAAGATAGTGAGTCAGGCAACAGTAAGTGGATTCAAACAAAACTGATCTATACTCAGACAACAAAAAAAAAAAAATACAGTGTGTATGTGTGTGTATATATATGTACTGTATACTGTATATATATATATATATATATATATATATATTTTTATATTTTTTTATTTTTTTTTTTTTTTAATTTTAAATGATATATTATACTAACTACTTAATTATGGTACAAACTCAGTGTAGCACATTATTCTGTCCTCACTCTCCATTGTTTCTATGGAAAAATTATATATTATTATTATTATTATACAGTATGTATAAAGCGCCAATGGTTCGCTCAGCGCTGTACATTACAAAGGAGGACAGAACATGTGACAGAACAATACCAATACAATGCAAAACATGAGGGGATCGAGGGCCCTGCTCTTTCGAGCTTACAATCTAGGATATATATATATATATATACACACACACACACTGTATTTTTTTTTTTTTGTCTGAGTATAGATCAATCTTGTTTGAATCCACTTACTGTTGCTTGACTCACTATCTTTGCTGGAAGTCTATTCCAAGTAGCAACTACTCTTTCAGTAAGATAATAGTATATTTAAAAAAAAATAGACAGACTCGATGGACCACTTAGTCATTTTTTTATGCCATCACTCTTCTATGTTTCTATGAAAATATTGTCACAACCACTGCATTTACAGATTATTTTTAGATTCAATGTTAATCAAAAATAATAGCTATAACACTAACAAGAAAAAAAAACACATGATATTATATTTCATTTTATCTTTAATTATTGTAATCTATTGTATCTGTTATAATAATGTTTAATCTATCGCACCAGAAAGAGGAAATTAGAAATATATTAAAAAGTACTTTGGTGTACTTTATCATCTCTGGATGTGACATTCCCATTAACCGCTACTTATTTTCAAACTAAGCTAGCTCATAGTAGGCAGATTGGAATCAACTTTAAACAGAATGGATTAGTTACCTTCGTATTTGTTGTGATTTTCTAAATAATAGATCAGGAACATAGAAAAGCTTATGAATCAGATTTCTTGTTTTATTCAAAGTAATGTCTAGTACACACGAAAAGAAAATTAGACGAAAAATATCGCTTTCGGAGTAATCTTCTGATAATCTTATTGTTAGTACACAGCTTTAGAGAGCCGACCACAACAGTTCATGCAAAATTATCTGAAGGGACAAGCACAAAATCTTTTCTCATGAGATAACAGATCAAATGATTTTCATTTAATCAGCACAATATTCGCCCATAAAAAAATCGAGTGACAAAGACCAGGCATGCTCAGAAACAAAAGAATACATTACAACACAATACATTACATCATTTCAGGAGCTGTATTCTGTTTTACTAGAATTTGTGTAACTCTAGTAGCCTATTAGTGTTCCATATAAGACTAGAATGCAAAGAAAACGGTCAATATTATCATCAATTCATCAATATTATCATCGTGTGTATGAGGCTTTAGATTGCACATGTCATGGGCAG